TCTCAAGTACTTCAATAACATCACCTGCTTTAAAACTCAAATCATTTGCCTCTTTTCCCACATAATCAAACATTGCTACGACAGTTGTTACAATATTGTTTGTCTTGTGTCTTCTTCGATATAATAAAAAGCCAGCAGCTACTAATGCGCCAAACATAAGTGAGCCTATTATACCACCCACTATTGCACCTACATTTGCACCTATATTGGGCAGATGTGTAGAATTGCCTGGATTATTTTGTTTATTTCCCGAAATAAAGTCTATAATTTGTGGATCTTTCGTGATATCAGCAATTGCAACACCTCCTATATTATAACTTTGTACAAAGTTGAGTTTGGCATATAAAGACTGGTAATCTTCATAAGAGATATAATAATAGACATTTGGTTGGGGCCCTGGCTGATTTGCTGACGGATTCTCTGTATTCTGACGCGGCCGATTCCCTGGTGGATTCGGACGCTGTGATTGTTGTTGTTGTTGTTGTTGTTGTTGTTGATAAATATATGGTTGTTTGGATTTATTATCAAAGCCATAGTACCATTGTGAATCTTTACTGGTATTTGTATAACAAGGCGGTGCTAAGAAATTGCTCAGAGTTTTCCATGACAAATGCCCGAATGACGTAATTCCACACGGATCTGTAATGTTTTCGTCAATAGCAATAGATGAGAACGTAATGTTTTGAGAACGTACTACATCAAAATTTTGATTAGCGATATCCATAATAGGATTACTCGAATATTTCAAAGTAATAGCTTCAATAATGCCGCCAAATTCAATTCCCAAAATGAGTTGTGATCTGTTACTATAGTTAAAGTTCCAGGAATCAATAATACTCTGAAGCGCATCTATTCCAGCACTGGTACGTGGGGGATTTCCATTAACGTTACTGTTAATGTTAAGTCGATATGCCTAAAGTTTTATAAATAAACAAATAAGTAAATAAATAAGCATTTATGACTTCACTTTTAAAAAGTTAAATACGTATTACCTGAATATTTACAAAATTAATGACAGTAGTATCTAAATATATGGGATTACTGCCTCCAGTAACCGTTAAAATTTTACTGCTATTAGCCTGTTTTAATTTCCTTGATATATCATTTAGGAATTGGTTGAACGCTTGATTTAAAGAATTAGAATCGAATTGTTTTGCTTGAAAACATGTAGCTGGAGCCTTATTAGGATAGTCAATATCAATCTGCAAGTTAATCAGAAAGTATATAATTAGTTAATTATTAACTATTGAATAACGTAAAACAAAGAATTAAAATTTACCCCGTCAAATTGGAAATCTTTAACAATTTTAACTAAATCGTCTGTGAAATTCTGATTACTCGGATCATACTGTCCAGTTGAAATCTTAGTAAACGGAGGGAGTTTCATTAAATCATCATTAACAGGTAACAAGATTGAAAGAATTAACTATAAAATAACCAATTAGCCATTATCATAAGTCATTATTTTAATAAGTCTTTTGAAATATATTTATTTACTTTATTACTATTGTTATCTTGGTATTTTGTCAATTCTTTAAAGTCTTTAAGTTTATTAGATTGATTCGAAACGAACATATTATATAGCCCATTAGTGAGATTAGTAAGATCATTTGGGTCAAACGCTACAAGAATTCAAATCAAACAACATTCGTTAAATTTAATCC